CCAATTAACCAGCAAAAAACTGGCAGTGGAGGTGTGCCTCCAGTGGGAAAATATTAGCCTTGAGCAAAAAAGCCAAGTGAGAGTATGAGACCCCGGGTTCAGGCCCCAGGTCCAGCACAGCAATTTACATAGATAGGTGTGTGTGTGTGTGTGTGTGTGTGTGTGTGTGCGCGTGTGTGTACATCCATATGCATTTGTATGTGTGTCTTCCGGATCTAGCTTCCACATACGTGTGAAAATGCATATGCAAATTTCTGCTGAGGCTCACCCCTCCTTGAGTGCTTATATGTGTTTTGGTTCATTGTGAGCCAAGCAGAGAAACTCATGGCCAAAAAGTTCATCTAAACAGCAGTGATCACTCCCGTGAGCCAGGTGGGGCACAGGAAGTCCGAGTGGCTTTTCAGCATCCCAGTTTTATAGGAAGTCTGGCATGATGTCCATGTAGCTTTGGGGAAGAATGGACGTGAATGAAGGGATTGAGGAATTGGAATGGATCGGGAAGTAGGAACCAGCAAATGCGATGGCGCTGACATTCCTAAGGTGGAGGCGTGGATGGGAGGGAGTGCGTGGCTCCCCAACATAGCCCTTACTGACCGCTGCTCCCTGGTCACTCTGAGAGAGGACAGTAATCGTGAGTGAAGTTGGACTTTGTTTTGTTCCCTTGCTTCACTTTCTCAAGTGGCCAAATTACCTCACCTTTAGTTCCTAGCTGACCAGTTCAGTATAAATAAAATGAAGGGTTCCAAGATGCTCTCCAGTCATTATTTTCTGGTTTTCACTGTCTTGGGATCTTGTTTTGCCTTTCTGCTTTAAGACTCAGTTTACCAGTGGACTCCCTAGAAGAAGCCATTTGAGTGACAGATCACAAAACCACACTTCAAATCTGGAATTTTCTCGGGTGTTTATTCAAAGAACTATGTATGTCTCATATGTTTTATTTTATTGTTGTTTTTAAAAATATTTTTTGTTGTTATTATAAAGGCGATGTACCGTGGGGTTCCTGTTTCATAAGTCACATAAAGAGTGCATTTCTTTTTGGACAATCCCACGCTTTCCTCACTCTCTCCCAGTTTTCCCCTCCTGTCTCCACCCTCAAGTTGTATAGAGTTCATTTGCTCACGTAGTGACAGTGACACCACTGCTGTATTTGTCCCTCCATTGCTATGTCCCTCACTTCACATCCTACACCTACACCGTCTCACTGAGGCCTAACCTGCACGAGCACTTTTTAGATTCCTGTTTTTGGGTGGTTTCTAAGACACAGTATTCACACATGTCTCTAGAAGCTCTTTGTTCAAGTGTAGTGTTCTAAAAGGCGTGAGCTGTTCCATCAGACAAAGGAGAAGCTCTGGTCAAACCTTGTGTGGAAAGTTAAAATGGCCCAGCAAAAGAAGTGGCAAAGGTGGTTTCCGTGTGGCGTAGCTCTGGAGATCCTGGGTCTCTGACTCACTTTGTTCCTGGTCTTGACCCAGCAGCAACCCCATCAAACCCATTCAGTCAGTGTGTATCTGATTTCCTCATCCGTCTGTGGGATGTGGTCTTCACAGGCTGCTTTAGTTTCAGATAAGTTTGGGCATCTGACCTTTGAGTTCCCATTTTGAGCCTCATTCTACTCACTAGCTGTAAGTAGAATGCGTTCAAGAACCCAGCACTAAACCTGTGAAGCCATCAGTTTCCCAGTTTACAACTTTGCCTCCCCCTCTCCCACCTCCTCTCTCTAATGCTCACGGGCACTCTAGATGGGAGGGTCAGTTTGGGTCCTTTATTGGTAGATAGGACTCTACCTGACCTCTAGCCCGAATTTTGGCTGTTATCCCTTCTCTCCTACTGTTTTGTTTGTCTGTTTTTTGTTTGTTTTGGTGGCATGGGGATTGAAACTCAGGGCTTCTCATTTGGTTAGCTTGCTCGCTCATAGTTGGCATTCTACTACTTGAGCTATGCCTCCAGTCAAGCTTTTTGCTGGTTATTCTGGAGATAAGAGTCACATGGATTTTTCTACCCAGGCTGGCTTTGCACCTTCAAACCCTCCTCTGTGGCCAGGATCACAGGCATGAGCCACTGGCACTTGGCTCTTTCCTTTTCTTAATGAGTAGTTTTGCTGGGAATGTAATTTATCAACATCAAATTTCATCTGTAAAGTCGTTAACAAACCCCTAGTCCCTTTTCTCTCCCTGGACAGTGTGGTGAAATTTACCTAAGTTAAACTTGCAATTTTGACCACAATCCTATGGCATTTTGTAACACACAGTATTGGGCAAATAGCACCCTATTTGTCTCCAGAACATGTTCATCACTCCAAAAGGAAACCAGACCTGTTCCCAGTCATTTCCATCCACCCGGCTTCCCCAGACCCCAGCAGCCAACATTTAAATTCATGTCTCTGAATTATCGTCCTTGTGAAGGTGAGTGACACTCCGTGGTGTGGATGTATGCCCATGGTTATCCATGTTTTCCTCAGGGGTGCTTTGTTGTTCCCTCCCTTTGGCAGACATTGTTGCTGTGAGCACACACGTGCAGAGCTGCTGAGTCCAACTGTGGGAGGTTGGAATTGCTGGATCATCTGGTCATTTTATTCTTTTTTTTTTGAGGGATTGCTATGCTATTTTCCACAGTGTCTGTACTGTTGTTTACTTGACCAGCGAGGCCCAGGGCTCCAACTTGTGTGCCTTATCACTAGCATTTGCCGTTTTCTGTTTAGATGTATCATGGGACCATCATTCCCCAGTGACTGTCCACATCCAGTATGTTCACTTGTCTCTTGGCCATCTATCGGTCTTCTCAGGAGAGATGTCTGTCCCTGTACTTGGCCCGTTTCCCTGTCGGCTGTTTGATGTTGCTGATAAACCCTGAACCTTTCACACATCTGAGGCTCTCACCGCTGTGAGCTTGGCTCCTGGGTAGATGTCGAGGGCCGTCTGCTTCCTTCTGCTCTCCCCTCCCTTCACCATTTCCCAGCAACCATCATTACTCTTCCAGACCTCTGTGTTCATTCTTTCCCACCGTTCACATCCCCAGCCTTGGGCTCACTGGACAGGTGGCTCCGTGGAGGTGGGGTGAAGGGGGGGGAAATTTTATGGACACCATCAACACCCTCTTTTTCTTGGCTCTGATTTAGCCATGGTGACTTCACCCTGTGTGTTGGAGGTCAAAGCTTCTGGCTCACAAGTCTTCTGCAGGATTGGCCCTGATGATGCTGGACGTCCTCTTTCTTCTTGAGTGCCTCTGATCCTGGGCCTCTGGGAGGCCAGGGAGGGAGTGGTTGGGACGGTTTGGGTGCAGGCTCTGCAGGGCTCTCACTTGGCTGGAGATCTTAGCCCTACATCAGTGTGTAAGGAGATCCTTAGCACCATGCACGGGCTGCGGGCAGGGCTGACACTCACAAGGCGTCAGCCTGTCCGCTCCACCGGGACTTACGTCTGGGTTTTCTCTTGTGCATCTGATTGAGCCTCTCGCCCCCTTTCTTGTCCTTATTTTCTAAATTCCATTCTTTGTGCTCTGCTGATTGGTTCCTGGCTGCTGTCATGTCACGGTCCCTCTTGATGTAGGCTGACTCGAAGCGGGACACTGGCTACATCCCAGTGGGTTTTATGGATGAAGGACCTGTCTCCCAGAGGGCGTTTGGGCCTTGCTGCCCCTCACCTGTCCCCCTTGGGCTGCTACAGGCTCCTCAGTGCTGCGTCAGAGATGGAGAATTTGACCCCACAGCATTCCTAGGAGTTGTCGATCACCTGTGCAGTGGACCGAATAGAACCAGGGGAAAAGATCGTATCCCGAGCATGTGTCAGGAATCTCAGGGCTTTACGCATCGAGTACACTCGCAGAGTTCTTTAGGTCTGTCTACATTATCACCTGAGTACTTCCTACTTCCTAGGCATTGGATTATTAGTCAGCTTCAGTTTACCACAACAAAACACCAGAGATGACTATGTTATAAAGAGAAAGCTTTCGTGTAGCTGTTCTTTGGAGGTTCAAGCCCAAGCTCAGGGAGTTTCCTGACCTTGTTTGGTCTCCTGTGAGGCGGCCTGTCTTGGGCAGAGGACACATACAGGCAGGTAGACATTTTGAGCTGGAGCAGGGACAGGAAGGGCAGCACCCCACAGCTCTTTCCAGGGCATCCCAGCTGGCGAAGGCCCCTTCCTAGACTTTACCTCCGGAAGGTCTGCACTTCCGAGGCTGCTGCCTTCTGGGCTCAGCCTTTAGTGGGGGGGCCACTCAAACCAATACCCAAACTACAACAGGTAGCAGGAAGTGCTCACCTAGGTAGCAGGAAGTGCTCACATAGGTAGTAAGAGGTGCTCACTTGACCTGTACAAGATCATTCAAGTATTACAGTCTCATTTTTGTTTTTTACCTCTCTTTTATGGAGAAAAGTGACTTGCATGGTTAGGTGTTCACAGAAGTTCACAGCCTGGCACAGTTAAGGTTCTATTCAGTTTAGATTCCAAGCAATACTCCGGACAATTTGATTGTGAGACTATAGTCATTATTATTATTTGCTATAGTTCATAAATTATCTGTTATGTACATTCCATTTTTCCTTTGAACCCATAGTCAATTATCTTTCTAAGTGGTTGGGATTCTATCTTTATGACACCTGGTGTTAATTTCTACCTGCGTTGCTTTGGGACTACGGTGATAGCCTATTTTTCTTGTATCTATTCATGTAATAGCAATATTGGTTTAAAATGAAAATAACTAGAATGTTAAAATAATGCCAAGAAGTCATTTATTACAGTATAGACTTGAATTTCGTACCCCCCATTGTCTAATTCAAATGGAATATACATTTTCAATAAAGTTCTTAGTGCCACTTGCTACTTTGGGTTTTTATGGTGAAACACTCCCAGCCTGTTTGGAAACAAGCTTCTCGCAAAGCTTGATAACCTGTGAAAAATTAAGAGACACTCTCTAGCAAGTCTATCAATGTTTAACAGCTTTAACAAGCCTTTCAGAAGTGTCATGTGTTAGCTGAGAATCATTTCACATTAAAATCTCTGGTTTTCCTGCCAAAGTTATCTTCAGTGAGAGCCATGTCTTTGTAGCCAGACTTGGAGCGGAGTGAAGGTAAGGAAAGCTGGAAAGAAGTTCCACGGAAAACCCAGATGTGGGAGGGGACCTTATGTGCACGGCTGAGTCTGAGCTCTGCCAATACCATGGTTGACCTCCTAGCCAGTCTCCGCTTCCCAGGGCCTCACGCGGCGCCCCTCACAGTCTGTACCTGAGGTGAGCGAAAGCACCCTCACCCTCTGTCTCTCCTTCCTCTTCCCCTCCTAGTTTCCCCCAGCGCATCCTGGCATCTGTGCTGGGTTTATGATTTCAAGTGACAGACAAGGAAATGCTTGCTCTTGGTCAGTGACGGCGGTTGAATTTCCCTTCCTTTCCTGGTCACCCAGTTGGAAAAGCTCATCTGGCGTCAGGGAAGATAGTTGGTGTAATTTTCCTGCCAAGGTATCTTTGCTTAGACCTGAGCAGAAGACAGAAGGCGGGCCCCAGAGGTAAGACGAGGCAGAAAGCTGAAGGATGGGGAGGGGCGAGGTCCCACGCTGTCTTCAGGGCTGACTCGACCACCCACCTTCTCTTTGGTGACGGTGGCGGTGTGGAGAATGTGCCTAGGCACCAGTGAAGATCTGGTGGGGAAACTACGTGGGCAGCATCTCACTCATTCATATCTTTCTTTCAAAATCTTCCTGGAGGCAGCATGTTCCATACAAGGGGATGTGATGTTCCACCCTGGGTGGCTGATCTGTTTGGGTCTGAGGATGTCCACAGAGGGGCCTGTGGGTGCCCAGACACACGGTGGCACCAGAAGAGCCCAGCGGTGGCTTCTCTTCCTGCTGCTGCTGCTGGTGTCTGGCGTTCCTTAGGTTATAGGAGAGCTACCCTCTCTCTCTCTCTCTCTCTCTCTCTCTCTCGGGTCCAGTCATGGGGCCTGAACTCTGGGCCTGGGCGCTGTCCCTCAGCTCTTCAGCTCAAGGCTTGCGCTCTACCACTTGAGCCACAGCGCCACTTCCGGCTTTTTTCTTTTTTCTTATGTGGTGCTGAGGAATCGAACCCAGGGCCTCAGGCATGCAAGGCAAGCGCTCTACCACTGAGCCACCTTCCCAGCCCAAGCCACTCTCTCTTGTGGTCTGCCCTGTCACGATCTGTGGATGTCAGTGCCCAAATACCTTTGAATTAAAAGGACACCGGACATGTTGGAGTAGATGCCTACTCTACTCCAGTGAGAACTACTTCAGCAAAGATCCTATGTCCAGATAAATTCAGGTTGTCTGACTAACAGTCAATATTCATGAAGTCACTCAGTAAACATTTATTGAGCATTTATTATGTGAAATGTACTATATGGGGTGTTGAGATTTATGTATATATATATGTGATAAAATATTTCCTGTGCCCATGCCATTTGCAATATAGAAGAAGAGAACTATAGCCTGGTATAATAAGGAACTTATGCTGGTTCCACCCAGGGGATGTTGGTGCGGTCTGCTCATTAGAAAAGCAGGGGAGAGTTTGCACTGGACTGAGGGGGTGATGAGGAGGTCCCCCGCGGGCCTTCAGCAAGGGCTGAAACACCATGTGGTGGCACAGTGGAGGAGGACAGGTGTCAGCGCCAGGGTGACTTGGGTGGCGCAGCTGCACTGGTGGTGTTGGACAGTTCGATGGATCCGGGGCTGTCGGGCATGGCGGAGAAGGGCGGGTGGGAGAAGGTGATAGACCAGGTCTGCCGATGAGTTCATTCTTTCTTCACTCAAGCAGGCTACGCTGATGTTTGACAAAGTCATTTTCTCAGATCCACGGTGGGGCAGAGACAGGATCTGAGCGGCTCCGGGACTCATCGAGGGAATGAGGCAATTTTCAGGGGACGGCTCTTCTTCAGCGGGCTCTTCAGGAGGGTGAACAAAAGTTGTGAGGGGAATACCTATTTTCTGCTAGAATGGCTTGCAAACACCCACAGAGGCAGGGAGGAAGGCAGGATCACCGCACCCCTGCAGAGGGAGGGGAGGGGCAGGCAGGGGTGGAGCTAGGATGTGGGGAAGAGCACGTCCTTTGTTTCGTGCCTACAGACTGTCCAGATTATGCATTTCAATAACTTACTCAACAAATATTTGTGCATTTCTTACTACTTCCTGCCCGCTCTGCCAGCCTCAGGGTTTTCAGCCTCTTGGAGCTACATGGCAAGGTAGATACATTATCCTATTGCTTCTTGGTTCATTTTTTTTCCTGACCCCAAAGACTTGTTATTGCGAAATGACTGTCCGTGCCTTTCTCTCCTCAGACGGAATGCTGTGGCTGTGGGATCAGGGGATTGGCTGTCCGGGTTCATCTTGGGGAGGGGAGGGGATGGAGGGCTGGCCATGGTGATTTTCTTTTCTTGATAATGTCAAAATCTTTATGTGGCTGTAAACTGAAGATAAATGGTAGATTGGTTACCTACATTATTCCTTGTTCTGGTTTGTTCAAAATGCTTTTTTTTTTTTTTTAAAAAAGGCATCAACATCATCTTTTTCAGTCTATATTAATGAGTGAGAATGGACAGAATTTGGCTTTTTGACTTTGGCTTGTTGTGCTCAAACTCATCTCTGATATTCTATTGTATATACAATGTTTTTACTCCATTCGTTGGTTATTGGCTGACTCTACATTTGTCTGTGGTAGACAATACTACAGTCAACCTGGGCCTGCAGTTGTCTTTCTTGTATGTTTACTCTCCTGTGGCTATGTGCCCAACAAAGGGGTAGGGAGTTGGTCATAAGGGAGGTCTATTTTTATTTGTTTTTGAGAAGCTTCCATACTGATTTCCATAGTGGTTGCTTACATTCCCAACAACCGTGTATGAGGGTTCCTAAGAACCCCGCATCCTCACCAGCATTCATTGTTTGTTTTCTTGATGATTGCCATTCTCACTGGGGTGAGATGGAATTTTGGTGTGGTTTTGATTTGCATTTCCTTTATGACTAAGGATGTCAGACATTTCTTCATGTCCTTTTAGCCATTTATATTTTTTTTTCTGAGAATTGGCTGTTTAACTCAGTTGCTGTCTATTAATTGAACTATTTGTTCTGTTGCTGTTTAATTTCTTTTGAGCTTGTTGTACATGTTGAATATCATTTCTTTTTCCAATGAGTAGCAATCAGCAGGAGTAATTTTGTGAATGTCGATGTGCTATTGAAAGCAGTTTAACGTAATATCCCTTAAGATCCCAGTGTCATTTTTTGTAGAGATAGAAAAGTCAATCCTAAAATTCACATGGATGCCTAAAGGGTCCCGAATAGCAAAAGCAATTTTGGGCAAAAGAGCAGTGCTGCAAGTGTCACAATATTGGCCTTCAAATTATACTAAAGAGTCATAGTAACAAAATCAGCTTGGTTCTAAGACAGAGGAAGATACGAAGACCAGTGGAACAGATTGGAAGACTAAAAAATAAAACAGTACAGCTTCAAGTGTCTGGAACCAATACACTGGAGGAACTACTGTCTTCAACAAATAGATCTGGGAGAGCAGCTATCTGCATGCAGAAGACTAAAACACCAGATACCTGTGTCTCCCTGTGCAAAAAGCAACTCCCAGTGGATCAAATGTCTTAATGAAATAACTAATATCTTGAAACTACCACAGGGAATTGTAAGGAACTCTCTGAAAGGTATAGGCCTGGGTAATTATTTTCTGAATAGGATTCCAGCAGCTAAGAGCAAGAACAGGTGAATGGGATGCTATCAAACGAAGCAGTGTCTGCACATCAAAAGAAAGAATTCCAGAATCAAGAGAAAGCCCATGCAGAGGAGATAGTCGTGACTAGCCAATGCTTTCGTTCTTGATGATGATGGAGGAGGTTTTCAGTGGCTAGGGTTTCTTCTTGATGATGGTAGAATTTCTTTTTCTTTTTCTGAAGAGAATGAAGCTTTGAATTCTAGAACCAAGGTGCACAATGTGCAACAGTATCAGTGTAAGTTAATAGCTGTTAACATCTGCGAGTTCCTCCTATTTGACAAATTTTGTTCAAATACGTTTGCTTTCTTTAATCCCTACTGTCCTACAAGGCAATCTTATCTTCTTCACTAGTCTTAGTAGATTGACTTTATGATGCAGTAAATAATGGATCATGATGAAGAACTTGAAAAAAAAAACACCCTATATTTAATCGCTTCCCTGTGGAGTGGAGGATGGATTGGAAAAAGAGGAAGGTGAAAAAGAAAAGTGTGTGTTTCTGTGGAATGGGAAGGAGTGCTGGTCACGTGACAGAGGGTAGGTGAAGGCTGGGGAATGTCCTTTAGTCCTCTCTCCACTTCTCATGTTCCGGTGGCTCTGTCGGCCATGGTTGGTTGGTGTGGTTGGCTCTGTGTGCTCCAGGCTTCCTTTTCCTTGATCATGGTCTTCGGCTCTGCAGGGTTTTACTCTTGACTACTCCTATCTGGAAATGAAACTAGATTGTACCCTTGCAAGTCTGAGATGGGGCCTCTTGGCAATTCAAATCCTGGACCTGGGCGGCTTTCACCCTCTGGACTGACTTGAGCCTGAGACATTTATATTGAACTCAGTAAGTCCAGAGTCTAGACATAGAATCTCCTTCAAACCAGGCCAAGTGGTCTGGATCTCAAGTGGCAGAAGTCACCTGTGTTTGTGCGAGTTCAGTTATTAGAAAAACAGTTCAAAGTGCATTCCTATTCATGTCTGACCAGTAGATTTATCTCAGTTTCCCCAAGATCATTAGCACACAACAGGAGCCAGAGGAACCCCTGTCATCGCTGCAGATAAGCCCCTCCCACCCAAGGTCATTGCCAGGGCACCGGGGAAAAGAGGGTGTGCATCACCCAGCCCTCCCCAGAGGCTGAGTGCCATCCTGCCAGATCCCCGCAAGGAGGAAGAAGGGCCAGGTGACGTCTATGTGAGCACCTGCTGTATACAGCAGCACTGCTGTATACAGTCTCCTCACCTAGTCAGCCACATCCTGTCATTTTGTAGACATGCACTGCAGGAAGACAGCACAGAGGTGCTTTTGCCTTTGCCCCTTTCCACATACCCAGACTCTTACTGTCGGTTCTGGGACACCTCCGTGTGGCTGTGGACTGGCCCAGTGGTCTCTCCTGCCTCTTCCCGCATGTGGCTTGCAGACCTTAGGCTCGGCTTTTGTCAAAACATACCAGACAAATGAAAAAGCTGCTCATTCATACCTCTGCCCCCTGGGAACCCACGCACCATGGCTTTCTAGTTGTAGCAGTCTGCGGTTGTCTGAGGGGACAGATGAGACCTTTCAGGATGTTTCAGAAGAGGAAGGGCTTCTGTGGCCAGCCATGGCTTGAAGCAATCAACCGAGTGTCAGAAGTGACTTCATCGTCCTTGCTGGGACAAGGTGCCAGGGAAGGCCTTTCTACTTTTAGATCAAGGTGACTAACGTGAGGATTGGGCTGGTGCGGAGAGAAGCAAGGCTGAGAGGGAGAGCTGGCTTGGAAGACAAACCTCTTTATTCTTCTGGGTAGGTAAGAAGGCTGTGAATAGA